CCGCCCCACGCATAATCCCCCGCCTTCTCCCCCAAGGCCAGGAGGAGAGAAAGCGAGGAAGGGGAGGAAGAGGGCAGTGTGGCTCCCTCCCCACGATGCAGCCAGGAGCAGCGAGGAATGGAGCAACTTATATTCGGGTATTTTTTCTTTCTCTCTCTCCCCCCCTCCAATTTTAAAGGTGCGGCTTACATTTGGGTGCGACTTATATTCGGGCCAATACGGTATATATACATCTCCTCTCCGTGTGCTCTTGGAGAATGGGTTCAGTTGATGGAACTGAAAATAACAGTCCGCTCTGGATGTTTCCACAGCTGGGGCATTGTTATGAATGGAGTAACCTGCTGCTGAATTGAAATGAATGAAGAACAAAAAGGATTCCGAGCAAGGTCACATGATGGGAGGGGAAGGTTATAGGGCCAGTTCCAAAAGCTTGGCAAGAGAGGTGTTTTGCTGGCCAGGCTGTTAGTTGATTAATTCTTGATTCTTCCACCCAGGCCAGTGAAAAGGGAAGGAAAAAACGGGGGGGGGGGGGCAGATCATCCAACCCCCTCCCCCCTCCCCGCCTTTTTCTTCTTGTTCTCGAAAGTGAATGCTGCAGCAAAATGCACTGCTCTGGTGGCTCCAGGGCAGTGGCTGAGCCTCCAGCCCGCTGAGTCTAATGGAGTTTGTTTTTTTGCCCTTTTGGTCTTTTCTGCTGCTGATCCTGATCTGGCGCTTGCTTGGCTCTTCTCCCTCCAGCGTTTGCTCTGACGGACTCTTTCAGCTTGCTCCTCTGAAAGCTGAATGTTTTGATTTGAAATGGGGATGTGCCATTAAAGAGACAGAGGCAAGATGGAAAGGAGCCCTTTCCCTGTAGGAAGGAAATGTGGGGAAATTTGCTGACCGGACCTGTGCATCATTTTACACACACACACACACACACACACACACACACACACACTTTTACTGGAGGGCTGGTCCAAATAGAGTGGCACCTCGGGTTAAGTACTTAATTCGTTCCGGAGGTCCGTTCTTAACCTGAAACTGTTCTTAACCTGAAGCACCACTTTAGCTAATGGGGCCTCCTGCTGCCGCCGTGCGATTTCTGTTCTCATCCTGAAGCAAAGTTCTTAACCTGAGTAATATTTCTGGGTTAGCGGAGTCTGTAACCTGAAGCGTATGTAACCTGAAGCGTATGTAACCCGAGGTACCACTGTATATAAAAAGCCCAACCTCATATACTATCCCCTGAGGGTCCACGAGTGAAAGAAGACCGAAGATGGTTATGCATTTATTTAGTTTGCTGATATTACGACACAGGTGGTGCTGCGGTCTAAACCACGGAGCCTCTTGGGCTTGCCGATCAGAAGGTCGGTGGTTCGAATCCGTGCAATGGGGTGAGCTCCCGTTGCTCAGTCCCAGCTCCTGCCAACCTAGCAGTTCGAAAGCATACCAGTGCAAGTAGATTAATAGGTACCGCTGCGGCGGGAAGGTAAATGGCATTTCCGTGCACTCTGGTTTCTGTCATGATGTTCTGTTGCAACAGAAGCCACATGACCCGGAAAGCTGTCTGTGGACAAATGCCGGCTTCCTTTGCCTGAAAGCGAGATGAGAGCTGCACCCTATAGTCGCCTTTGACAGGACTTAACTGTCTAGGGGTCCTTTACCTTTTACCCTTTTACCTATCAGTGATGCATACCCTTCAACATTTCTCTGATGAAAATAGGAATGTCCCATTCCATAATGACAATTTTACTATTTATATCCCAAACATCTTACTGGGTTGCCCCAGCCACTCTGGGCTGCTTCCCAGGACCCCTAACAGTTAATTCCAGTCATAAACGACTCTGGGGTTGCAGCGCTCATCTTGCTTTACTGGCCAAGGGAGCTGACGTTTGTCCACAGACAGTTTTTCACGGTCATGTGGCCAGCATGACTAAACTGCTTCTGGCAAAACCAGAGCAGCACACGGAAACGCTGTTTACCCTCCCACTGGAGTGGTACCTATTTATCTACTTGCACTTTGACGTGCTTTCGAACTGCTAGGTTGGCAGGAGCTTGGACCGAGCAACGGGAGCTCACCCCGTCATGGGGATTCGAACTGCAACCTTCTGATCGGCAAGCCCTAGGCTCAGTGGTTTAGACCACAGCGCCACCTGCGTCCCTCCAGCATATATAAAAACTTAATAAAGCATTAAACATTTAAAAAACATCCCTGTACAGGATTGCCTTCAGACAGCTCAGGGGGCGCATAACTCAATACCCTCCAACATTTCTCCAGTGAAAATAGGGACGCAAGGTGTATCTTCAGCAGATGCTAGAAACTACTATAATTAAGGTGTCAGATGCACCTCTGGGAATGGGAATTCCTCAACCAAGGAGCTGCCACAGGGAAAACCCTCTCCTGGGTTACACACACACAAGCTTCTGAGGGTGAGAAAGTGAGTTAGTGGGGCGGGAGACCTTAATTCAGCAATTTGGGGCCTATTGTTTAGGACTTTAATACTAAAATTAACTCCTTGAATTCAGCCCAGAAATGAACTGGCAACCAATGAGCTCTAAAGAAAGCCCCAGCCATTATCTGGCTGAGGCATTTTGGACCAGTTATAGTTTCCAAGTCACCTTCAAGGGCAGCCCCACATAGAGTGCATGGCAATAATCCAATCTGTAAGTTACCAGAGTGATCTCAAAGTTATCAGGAAAGGCTCACCATGTATCGGTGGGCTCCCTGCCTTGCTCACTACCAGTCACAATGTCCACCGGCCACGACTGCTAGGAATTCTAATGCCAGGAAGTAACCAAGGAGTAGTTACCTCCTTGCTGGGTGCTGCACAAGAGGACAACATTAGTAGGGTACTTGCATCAGGCTGCAGAGAATGCAATGGAAACAAGAAGCCCTCAATGGCCAACCCTGATGTGACACTGGAAGTCTATTGACTCTCGGATCATTGTTTCTAGGTTAAAAAGGAGCAAAAGGAAGGGTTAGGGTCACTGCAGGCAGCTAAATGTCTTGGTCCAGCTCTGACCCACACTGAGACCCCAACCATAGTCAGATGCTGGGGTATGAGTCAGAATTGCAGAAGGGGCTGAAGCATATAGCTGATATGTCACTCCAAATGTCCGCACAGTTTCTCCTCAGCATCAGTGATGCCTGCAAGTTTTGGACAGGAGACGGGACAAGATGAAACCTGAGACCCCACAGGTAAAGTCTCAAGGGGGAGAGGATCAGCCATCCCTCATCAGTGGGGTCTGGCAACTAGGAAGGCTGGAACTACTTCATAGCTGCTTGCAAGCTCTGGTTGATTATTATTTTTTTGTAATAAATTTGCCTGAGATTTCAATCAGAGTCCAGTAATAGCCTCATTATAACAATGCCAATTTATAATACAATTATTAATACCAATAATTCAAATACAGAATTATGTAACTTAGTTAAAGTGGCCTCCCACGTGCTAGATTTGATGATTGTCTTTATTTCTTCATTCCAAAATCATATTAGTTTCAGTTACATTCTGGTCATAATAATAATGCCTTATACAACAACTGCAATATTAAAAATTTCTATTTGTGTTGACACATTAAATGATTTATAAAACTGCAAGTAGGGAGTTCTAACTATATCCTTATTCTCCCTGTATGTGGCAGTTTTTCTGTCCGTGGTGTTTCTTCCTGTCCTTGTAAGATGTTATGTCTTCCCCCACGATTGTTGCTGTTAGCCCATTGTTGTTCCAGAAATTTCTCCATCGCTCTATCCCATGCGTCATTGTTTTGCACCAAGAACTTTAACAACAGCTGCAAAAGTTGCTCTGTCCCAGTAAATAAACTGATCTCCCAATGAGATCTCCCGCTGTCGTGGGGGCTGCTTCCATTAAGGCAGAGCAGAACCGGAAGCCAGCTCTGGTTAATTTCAACCATATACTTTCTTGAGTAGAATAATCAACTAAATCTTTAATCAAAGCTTAAACTTTTCCCCCTTCTAATTAATCGGCAAGACACAGCTGCACAAGCCAACCTTTCTCCCTTCCTATGTCAAATTTGATGGAAACGCAACTTAATGATTGCTCCCTACTTCCCAGTTTTGTATCTAAAGCTAGCGAATAGTTTGCATGTTTTGGTGAACTACGGTGACTTTCCTTCTAGCAATCAGAACCGCCAGCAACCCAAGTGGCCAGGACTCAGCTGAAATCAGTGTCAATGCATCTCCAAAATAGGGGCTTCAGACAATCCTAATTGGATATGAAGCCATTTCTACTTGGGTTGGGGCAATCCCGCAGCAAAAGAGAGTCTGTTTTTCCTACTCTCAAATGAATGAGTTGTCGAAACCGATAGGAAATGTTCAGGGAAGCTCACTTGCTTGTAATATTGCTCTACAGTTCAGGTCACGGGAGAAGCACATATGTATTGTGCTTGCGTCCATTACGGATACAGCAGACGTGCACCTAGAGGAAAAATGCTCTCTTTCGCCGCAATGATAAGAAAAAAAAGGACTAAGAGGCTGTTTCAGCTCCTGCAATTTTCTGTGTTTTGAAGAGCTTTCTGGCAGGCAGAATATAGCAAGACAGATAGCATCTCTGGTGAGGCTGTAATGTTTGGACTGAGGCCCTATAAATGCTCACCTGGGGAGTAAGCCCCACCAGGGGCAGAGGAAGGGGTGTGCGGTAGGGGCGGGTTGCCCCGGGTGTCACCACTGAGGGGGGTGACAAAATGCCGGGCGGCACTCACCGCGGGGCCTGCAGCGCGCCCAAGCCACGCGTCTCTCTTGGGAGTGACGCGGTGGCTTCGGTGCCCGCAGGCTCCTCACTGCCCCAAATGGTCCATCCGCCGCCTCCCCCTCAGTTGTAGGGTGGCTGAGTGGGAGGAGGCAGGCCAACTCCTCGGAGGCCCCATGGAGCGTCCTGCCCCGCCCCGCCCTGTGGGTGGCTGCCCCCCGGGTGCAGCTGGTCCTGCCCCAGGGTGCAGGGCATGCGCACCGCCTCAGATGCCCAATTGGCTTGCTCCGCCACTGAGCTCCACTGAATGTAAGGGCCATAGCTCAGTGGTTAGAGCATTTGCTTGGCAGGCCAAAGGTCTTGGGTTCAATGCCTGGTGTTTCCAGGTTGTGCTGGAAATGTCCCCTGCCTGAAACCCTGGACAGTGTAGGCCAGTTTCCAGTCCCTAAATGTTGCTGGATTACAACTCCCATTAAACCCTGACCACTGGGTAAGCTGGCTGGGGTTGATGTGAGTTCAACAACATTTGGAACCCTGGTGAAAACAATACGGAGCAAATGGATCAGTTGTATGTATCTGCTGAATTCCCTCCTACTCCAAATTAAGAGCAACTGTGGTAGTCTCAGTAGTGATGTATGGAAGTGAGAGCTGGACCATAAAGAAGGCTGATCGCCAAAGAATTGATGCTTTTGAATTATGGTGCTAGAGGAGACTCTTGAGAGTCCCATGGACTGCAAGAAGATCAAACCTCCCCATTCTGAAGGAAATCAGCCCTAAGTGCTCACTGGAAGGACAGATCCTGAAGCTGAGGCTCCAATACTTTGGCCACCTCATGAGAAGAGAAGACTCCTGGAAAAGACCCTGATGTTGGGAAAGATGGAGGGCACAAGGAGAAGGGGACGACAGAGGACGAGATGGTTGGACAGTGTTCTCGAAGCTACCAGCATGAGTTTGACCAAACTGTGGGAGGCAGTGGAAGACAGGAGTGCCTGGCGTGCTCTGGTCCATGGGGTCACGAAGAGTCGGACACGACTAAACGACTAAACAACAAGGGGTAGTCTGGATGGCTCAGTTTATTAGAGCATGGGGCTGATAACGCCAAGGTTGTAGGTTCGAACCCTGTATGGGACAGCTGTATATTGCTGCATTGCAGGCGGTTAGTCTAGACTAGGCATGTCCAACTCCCAACAGACAGATCTACTCCCACTATATATATAAAAAATGGCAGTGATCTACCCAACTTTGTTGAGCTTTTTTGGTGGAACTACAGTTGTGAGCTTTTGTTGCAGAACCCAAGTTCTTGAACTTTTTTTACAGTGCCAAAGTTGTTGAGCAGGAAGCCTGCATGCGCCAAAACCACAGCATCTCTCAAAGATGTTGAGTGCTGTGCAGCATGTGGTTTTTTTTTTAGGTGGATCGCTCTGGATCATGCGCTTGACCAGGATCGACCAGGGGCGACCCACGATCGACCAGTAGATCATGATCAACCTGTTGGACGGGTCTGGTCTAGACAATAATCAGGGTCACTACCAACTCTACAATCCTTTGGTTCTATGATCCAATGTGCAAGCTTGAAATGGAATTAATATTATCCTCCATTATGTACAGGGAGCAATAGCTATTGGGCACCTATTAATTTAGGAAGCAAACAAATCTTGCAATTTATGGGCTCTGGGCCTCTCAGTTTTCTCAGTGAGTTTAAAAAAACAAAAGAAACTTTCAATTAATAAGTATGGGAATGGAGTGGACATTTCATTTGCAAGGAAGACCAGGGGGTATGGCAAGTCCATTTCCACCAGTCCCCAAACCTTTCCCTCTCTGCCTGTCGTCCTCTGACTTGTTGAGAGTTGCCTTCTGATTTGAAAGCCTTTCTCGCCCTCTTCCCTGTTCAATTAGCTGCTTGCTGAAAAGGAGCCACAGGAAGCCCATCAAAGGCATGTTTGAAGTTTTTTGATTTAATCTTCCCATGATGGCAGGATGCTAGTGGCTGCTTATGGAGTTTATATAGCACTCTTCCCTCCAAGTTGGCACAAAGATTGTTCTGGCAATTTTTGCCCTCCCCAAGGTCCTTTGTATATTGGAAATGGTCTTTGGAAGGTCGAACGCGCAAGTTATTCATTGCGGCATTATGACTCAGTCTTGTCAACACCCTTTTTTCACGGGGTGGTTTTTGGAGGATCAATGAAATAACTGTGGCAGTATGTAATAGAAATGTAAGTTGCTGTTATTAATGGGCCCAAGCTGTTGCGCAGGAACTAAGAAGGAATCGTTTTGCAGAGGCAGGCGTGAGGGTGGCGGCGGCTGGAGAGAGAGATCTGACATAAAGCTGAGGCTACTGTCTTCCTGTTCTTGTGGTTCCTTTCAGAGAAAGGATGCTTTGAAAGAAGGGCAGGCAATGAAAAGAACAGAATCATTTAGTTACATCCCTGTTATGACAAAGGATACATTCTCCAGTCACTAAAAGGCCCCTAGGGAATCGTGATGGCAGCTGATTTGGGGAAACATTAAAGCAGTTACCTGCACAGGCTGGTTTTACACCTGGGCAAGAGCCTGATGGGTATTGAGGGGTCTTTGCACACCTGCAAGAGGCATAGCTGTCAACCGTCCCTTATTTGGCGGGAAACTCCCTTATCCCAGTGCCATGTCCCTCTGCTGTCCCTTATTGATGATATCCCGTAAATTTCCCGGGTTTCAAAGGAAGCAGCTCCTCTCCCTCCCTGCCTGCCGGCCAGGGAGGAGGGAGGCTCCAACTGTGTTGCTTGGCTGCGTTGCTCACCCAATAAGGAGTCTAAGAATGACTGGGGGGTGGAGCTTGCATGCCTTGTGCCGATCAAATCAGCCGTGTTGCCTGGGGACTCGCCTTTGCTCAGCGCTTCCCAGCAGAGAGGTGACGGTGGTTTTCCTTGCTGCATCCCCTTTGCTGGGTTGCTGCGCTGTGGGAACCACCGCTTCAGGCTTCATTGGGCTGCTGGCTGGGATTTCTGCCTTTGGCTCGGAGGGGCTCAGAAGTTGAACATACCTGTGCTCGGAATCGGATGAAACGTCATCGACGGCCCACTCACCCTTGCCGGGGAAAAGATCTGCTTGGAGTGGGGGCACATGGTGGGGGAAAAGGGAAATCCCTTATTTTGGCTGCTGATCCCTTATTTTCGAGGCTGCTGGAACCTTATTTTCAAATCTGTAAGTTGACAGCTATGGCAAGAGGGTTAGTATCTGTTAAGGACTGGGTGGACGCAGAGGAATGGTAGGAAGAACTAGCCAAGGAACCACCAAGCGAAGAAGGCTCAGAGCCTTGGAGTGGTGGTTGGACAATGATAAGTGGTCAGAGGGAGAAGACTGAGAAGATGAGATGTTGGGGATAACAGGGCTTAGTGAGATGGGAGATTCTATGAAAGAGAGAAGTCAGAATCAGAGGCAGAAGCTGAAGCAGGAGGGTGGAAGGAGAGAGGCCAAGAAGCAGAGGTGTGTAGGGCTGGTGAAGAGTCACTGGTGTCTCCTCCTGCTGCTGTGACAAGGCCCCTCCCTCCCTGACTCCCAGAACCAGGAGAGGGCTGAAACAGGCAGAGCAAAACAGGCTTCATGCAGGCACAGTCTCTGTTTGCTTGCAAGAAGCCCTGGAGAGGAGAGGACTTAGATAGTGGTGGGGAGGTGGGAGCTTTTAGTATTGACAACTGATTTAATGCAGCAGTGGTGTAGCGTGGGTTGCCAGTGCCTGGAGCTGCACGGAGGAGGTGGGTGAGCGGGAGGGAAACAGGCGGAGGACTCTTGAGCTAACAGGGTCCATGTCACCCAGGAATTCGCAGCCACAGACATAAGAAAAGAAGAGTTGTTCTGTTGTCTGGAGAGGTCACTTCCTAGTTCACATGGAGAAGCCATTTTCTTTTTTCTTTACTTTTTATTGGGTTTTTCACAAACAAACAACAAGAAAATAAAACAATCTTTTACAATCAACATTTTAACTCATCACATTTACACTGCGTGTCCTCACGCCTCGACTTGCTTCCTTCCCTGCTTCGGTTTTCTTGAGATATATCCCCTCCTGTAGATTCTTATTCCCCTTCTATGCACATCACAGGAATTATGTTAACCCTGCCATAGTTTTTAAGCTTCTACAGTTTCTTCTTATAGATGCCATAAATTTACCCCATTCTTCATCAAACTTTGTCCCTTTTTGGTCTCTTATTCTACATGTCATTTTAGCTAATTCTGTATATTCAAAAAATTATGGAGAGGCCATTTTCGACAGAGCCAGTGACAGAAGTATGCAGCTGTACTGAGGCAGCACTGGGTGATGAAATTTTGCGCCCCTAACCATTTTGCACCTGGGGCAACTGCCCCCATGGCACTCTACACACTATGCCACTGTAATGGAGAAGGACCTACAGGACATGAGCTGCTGTTCTCATTAAGCCTGAAACCCAGCCAAGACTGTGTATATCATGTTTTCCTAATAAAGAGTTAACTCCAGCTTTGAACTGTGTGATTGACTGCTGTTTAAATTTCAAAAATCCCAAAATTTGAGGACCAATGGCGCAGATGTTGTCAAGGCTGCTGTAAACAACCCCACTGAAGAAGATAACAGTGGTTACCCAGGCCTTGTTGCTGGTTGCAAAGGGACCCCCAAGCTTCAGGGCACCCACTGCAGGTCCGCCACTGCAATTAATGGACCAAAGTAAAATAAACACACACAGTGCAGCAGTTCCGATTTAGTCCATATTTCCTTTATATGGCCTTTAGGTTTGAGTGGAGGGACAATAAACATTAATAACCAGGAGGTTGCTAGATTTTAATTTCAAATAAGGTCTGCTGATCATGCTTTCCAAAAGCAATCAGTAAGACTGAAGCAAGAACGAAGAAGTCTGCCGAAGGTTAGCTTTTATTATTTGCTCAGATTGCTCTCAGAGAGTGGGCAACACAGCCAGTTAAGGCAATGCCTTCCATGACCCAAGTTTCCTGCAGCAACGTTATATCAAAAGAACATAAATATTAGTAGCATGATTTATCCCTACTCTTATTAGGTCAGCCTACAATTTTCCAGGAGATTATAAATCTGCAAGATTGATCAGTTTAAACGTCCCTGCCTCATTCTTCAAAACACCCCCATTCCCAGTTGTTCCTGCTTTAGAAGGGATCAAAACTGGCCCGGGACCAGTAATTTGAGCTCTGATGACAGGAGAGCTTAATTCATGTGAGCTGAGGAATCTACTACAATCCACCCACTCCTTTTCAGGCTCTAGACCAGGCAAAGAGGTAGGTGCAGTTTTCCTGTACACTATCATTGCTCACTCAGCATTGCTATGCACTTGTGCCGAAATGCCAGCTGCAGTGGGAACATCATCATACTCTCCAACATTTCTCCAGTTCCATAATGATAATTTTACCATTTATACTCCATACATCTTACTGGGTTGCCCCAGCCGCTCTGAGTTGCTTCCAACATATATGAAAACATAAGAAAACATTAAACATTAAATAAACTTCCCTATACAGGAATGCTTTCAGATGGCTTGAGGGTCGGATAACTCCATACCCTCTAACATTTCTCCAGTGAAAATAGGGACATCCTAAGGAAAAGTGGGACATTCTGGGATCAAATCAGAAACCGGGACGGCTTCTGTAAATCTGGGTGTCTCTGGAAAACAAGAAATCCCTTATTTTGACTGCTGATCCCTTATTTTCGAGGCTGCTGGTCCCTTATTTTCAAATAAGGGACCAGCGTCTTATGTCTTACGTTCTATTCAGGATGCGAACGGGGCTCCGGAACGGATCCCGTTCGCATCCCGAGGTACCACTGTATCGTCTTTTCAGGTTAATGTGATAGATTGTTAGCAGCCAGCGCAAACAGATATTGTTCAACATTTTAAAACCAAGGCCAAACCCAGAGCCTGAAATGGAGCATTTATTATTAAGCTTTACGTATCTGTGAAGACATGAATCAAGGAATATCTCTTAAAATAATAATGGGCATCTGGCACCTCTGGAGAAGGTGAAACATCTAATAAGGGGACTGAAGGTTATTCCCCCCGCCCTCTACTCGAGGAGAGGGGTTATAGAACCATCGCTCAGGAGGTGAAGATTCTCAGAAGAATTTGCTAAGGAAACCGCGGCCACATGGTACACCTGCATTGTGG